AAATATTTATGTTCATTTAAATGGTTAGATGAGGAGAATTAAGTCCATTTGACTGATTTTTATTTCCAGCTATGCAACTGAAATCAGCTTAATCTTAAAGCTGAAAAACACACACATATTGTTGAGTTTAAATAAGCAATGTGTGAAACTTCAGCAAATATTGAAGTGTTAGTTTGGCTGATGGAGTGTTTGCTAATATCAGAAAGAATACACTTTAAACAAAAGGAAGTGTTACTAGGGACAGCAAAGGACATATCAAAGTAACAGAAAGGTTCATTTGAAAAGGTCCAATTCACTAAGAATATATAGAATCCTAAATTTGTAAGTATCTAATAATGCACTTTAAAAATATATAAAAAATGTAAAGAATTAAAAAGGTAGATGAGGAAATTTATACCCACAACTCAAAGTTGTTGTTTTTTTTTAACCACCAAGCTTCTCTCAAGTGTTAGAAGAAAAATAATGAGGAAATGACATACAAGATTTAAACTAGATTAAACTTTATACTAGATTAAACCTAAACTAGATTAATCTTTATTTGTATTTAGGGCAACTTACTCAAATGATCTTTTCTTCAATTGAACATGGAATATTATTAGAAGAAACCATTTGCTTTCCACATAGAGCAATTGTTTATAAATTTCCAAGGTCATTTAGACTATATTCTCTGATGCCATTGGATTCAGAAACAAATTAACCATAAAATGCTTTTGCAGAAGAGTCCTATATACATATGTATACACATACCATATGTGTGTATATATGTATATATACATATATGTGTGTATGTATACATATATATTTGGATATTTGTGCAGGTCCTGGACCTTGAACTCAGGCTTGGATGCTGTCCCTGAGCTTTTTTGACAAGGCAGTGCTGTAACACTTGAGCCACACCTCCACGTCCAGCTTTTTGGTGGTTAATTAGAGATAAGAGTTTCAGGACTTTCCTGTCTGGGCTGGCTTAAAACTGATCCTCAGATCTCAGCCTCCTGAGTAGTTAGGATTACAGGTATGAGTCACTAGTGCCTGGTAACAACACATTTTTAAATGCAGGTAGAATAGGTAAGTTCATTGTAAAATACCATACTATAATTAATATAACAAGAAATATATGTAATGAGTAGCATTTTATTAGGGAAATTATTTTCTAATAAAAAAATCTTCCCAAATTATAAACCTCTAAATTTAGATAGCTTCACTCATGAATTTGTTTGAAATTTAAGAAAAATAACACTATTCTACCATGAATACATATAAGATTTAAAACAGAGTGAAAATCTCTCAACCTGTTGAAAAAGATCAGTATAATTTTGATACCCAATCTTATAAGAACATTCGAAGAAAGAAAACTTAAGGCATATTTTATCTCATAAACCAAAGCACACACACACACAATATAGACAGAGAGGGGGAAGAGAGAGAGAGAGAGGAAGATCCTTAGCAAGTACTAAGGAATTTGTTCTAGAAATATGTAAAAACATAGTATTAAGACAAATGGGTTTTTAATGCAAAGTTGGGTTGACATTTGAAAATCCTTTAATAAAATTCAATATAAAAACTATAAAATCATGAAAACAAAAATGTGATAACATTCAGCATGTACTCATAACAAAATTAACAAACTATGAATAAAATATGAGTTTCTTACTTTGATTTTGTTAGTTATCTGAATAAATCCTGAAAGAAGCAAGCTTCAATAATGTCTGTTATTACTATTTGTATTCAACATTTTTCTAGATTATATAATAATGTAATACATAGATAAGATGTGAAAGGAAGAAATAGTCATTATTTACAAATGACATCACATTTACATAGAAAATCCTCAAATTACTTGCTAATAGAATGAATAAGTAAACTTCCCAAAGCTATTGGTTATACTTGGGAATACATTTCCTATGTTGATACTAGAAAAAAATGGTAAAAAATAAAAACTTCAAATGCCTTCATTTAAATGCTGGTTTCCTCTCGTGTTGTATAAATCTTTCATTTAAAAAAAATCTCATTTATCTTTGCATCCACAAACAGCAAATTCTTTGAAAACAAATCTAAATGAAGATGTGCCAGACTTTTGCAGAGGTAGCTATAAAATATTACGGAAAGAATTCAAAACATCAATAAATGTTTGTGAATTAGTTGATCCATTTGTGTGAAAGTTTGCTTGTGAAAGTTGACAATTTGACTGTAAAATTTATCTAGAAATACAAAGGAATGAGAATAGTAAAGAAGGTCCTGAAAATGAAAGATGGAATCTGGAAATTTACACTATTAGCTATAAAAATTTACTAAGGAGATGAAGTAATATAATAGAATAAAAAAGACGTCAGTGAGACATAATTCACAGAACACTCTGGCAAGCACATACACGTGTGTGTGTGTGTGTGTGTGTGTGTGTGTGTGTGCGCGCGCGCGCGCGTGCGCACGTACATGTATGCAAATCATCTGATCCACACAAAAGATTTATTGTTATCCTCTTTTCAATAACTGGTATTGTATCAATAGGTACTTGTTCAGGAAAACATTCTTGAATTTGCCTTTTCCATTATACTATGCATAAAATTAACATTAGATGAATCAAAGACAGGTATTTGTAACAATATAATATATAGACAGTAACATTTGTTTTAATGAAATTAAGATGATAAGAAAATCCTTAATTAGTACCCAAGTGATGTTAACCATTAAAGCGATTGGATAGTTACATATTGTACTTTTTAAAATCCTATAAACTTCTACAACTTATCATGAAAATATGGGCTTGGGAATACAGGTCAAGAGAAGGCACTTGTCTATCAAGGGTAAGATCTTGAGCTCCATTCTCAGAACATCAAAATGTAAAAAGAAATAGCTTAATTTTTATAAACAGGATAAGGACAGCCAGGCTACTCAGGAGGCTGAGATTTGAGTATCACAGTTCAAAGCCAGCCTGGGCAGTAAAGTCTGTGAGACTCTTACCTTCAATTAAGTACCAAAAAAGCTAGAAATGGTGCTGTAGCTCAAAGTGGTAGAGGAGTAAGACTAACACTGAGCACTGAAGCTCATGGACAGTGCCCAGACCCTAAGATCAAGCCTCAGAACCAACACATACAAAAAATGAAAAAATAATAAAAAACAGGAAAATGGTGCTCTCTTTTTCCAAATATATAACAGAATTCACTACTATCTTTTCTGTCTCCAGCTAGTTCATGTAATTGACTAATGTGGAGTTAAGTAGAGGCAAAAGTCAGACTCTGAAACTCTGAGGCTTAGTTTTCTCATGTAGAATAATGAGTCTAACATTTGTTTCAAAAGTAATTCTGAAGATTAACTGAGATAATAAATATGAAAATACCTAGCACAGATTTCACTATAGAAGTTTTATATGTACAGATGGATAGACAAACATTTCTCAGCAGCCCTATACAGTCTACATTGGTTATTGATTTAATATATGCCACAGAAAGGCAGCATTATCAACTTTTTTACTCATTAAGAGTAATGAATACACGTCCTCCCCAAAATTATAATTTATTGGCACAGGTATGTGTGTGTTAGTACCTTAGGCAGATATTAATTAGGTTATACATCGTACTACTTATACATTATTAATTACAAATGTAATGAAAACAGATTATTTGGGGGTCAGTATCTAACAATCAATGTAAATACTCTCACAATGAATCAGGGAAAATCTTTTCTTTTAAAGGACTAGTTTGATACAATCCTTTTGGGTGGACCCAGGTAAAGCAATGCATAGAATTGTCTTTGTCTGTCACAAGACAGCACAATACTGCAAAGAAAGCTGATGGTCAGACACACTCCAGGCTTACATTTCTTCACCTGAGCCAGACTTCCTCTGACTTTCATCTTTCTGTATCTTTGCAATACAATTTCCTTGCCTAGAATGATTCTTCTCTTATCTGACTGGAAAATTATTATTATGGTTTCTGGAAATCACATAGTTATTCTGTCAAAACCTTGACAAAGTTCCTAATATGTGATGAGAAGCATCTTAGGCACCAGGGATATGACTCTGAACATTCAGTCCAGGGCCCCTTCCTCAGAGGTTTTATCTTTGCATCAAATTCCCAAGAAAGAAAGCACACTAAGTTAAGTTGCTCCATCCTGTTCTCATCCTGGCATTATAGAACAATCTACACATTTATATTCTGTTACCCCAGCCTGCCAGGGGCCTCCACAGAAGGAAGGTCTTGGTCTACTCATCCCTTCTTTCCCAATGTACAGTTGAGAGTGTGACACACAGTAAGGACTAAATTAATGTTTTTTATATGAAACTATTCATTGTTCACAAGACCTTGAAAAATTAAATTTGTTAAAGGATTTTGTAATAAATTTTAAAATAAAACTAATTATTTTCAGGAAAATATCATCATGTTGAGACAATTTTTACTTTTGCTTATTTTGTTAGCATTTTATTAACAGCCCTAGCAGATATTTTAAAATGCTCACTGATTTTAAAAAGATTCTGAATAGATGCATAGTATAAATGGAGGTGAAACAATGCCTCATCAGCCTTTTGCATTTTAAAATCATGAGAATCTTTTCAGGAAAAATAGAACAAGCTTGCATTTAATTAGAAATTGATATGTATATAATAAATGACATAATATATCTGTTAAGTTTTTATAATAATGGACAAAAATTCACCCATGAAGTGAAAGTGATACAGGACTTTCATATAATTTGTCTTCACAATATCAAAGTTTGGCATATCTTACATATAGGAGTAACAGTGTTTACTTAAAAACAGCATAGATCTGAAAGTTTACCCAAAATCATAAAGATATATCAAGTTATATTTGGAAAAATGCATGAAACAAAATTTCGATTCTTTGAGAAACACTAGGTAGGTTCTGAGGTCTTTAGAGGCATAAATATCATAACTTAAAGAGATATAATTCCCAACTATTTATTTTGGAATAAACAACATATTAGTCATTAGTCTTGCAAAAAATCCATAGAAAACTACTGCAGAGTGAGAATCTGAAAGTACATACTTGGTCTGGTGTTTGGATCCTTTCAGGTGGGCATGATACTGTTCTATGGAGTTTAGGGACACACTGCAGATGGTACATCTGTAATTGCGCCTCAGACCTGTGGATGATAGACAGACCTGTTACTACACCCTGTTCTGAGTCAGCAGAATGGAGTCTTGAATGTCCACAATTTGAGCAACGGAGTAAAAAAGAGGATTGCTGGTATAACCCACCCATCACATTTCAGGTCTTTCTTCTAGATCCTAGCCAATAGGCCCCACAGAAGAAGTGGGAATCTGAATTTGTAGAAGCAGTCAACTACATTTCTAGATGACTGAAATTACAAGAAGATACTTCTTTGAGCTAAAGCAAAATGTTTCTGGACATTTTATAGCTCAAAGAAGCACTCTGCTTTTCCCTAAGGCACACTGACAAAGTTAGTTGTTATTTCTAAAACAGAATTTTGAAATGTCAATGAATTCTCTCCAAATCCTTTCCTTGTCTCCTGTCTAATGGTAGAATTGGAAGTACAACTTCAGACATCATTAATTTAGGTGTTTCTCCCAGGACTATCTAATAAAATATAAATAGCCAGAAAGAAGGGTAACACATCAATCAGTTTCAAATAAATCTTTATTTCCATCATGGAACCTAAAAGAAAATCTCTGCATCCACATACTTATGCATTTAATTGCTTCATTAATGCAGTATCAATTTTGGATTAGGCAATGGGAATTCCAATACAAGAAAAATGCTGTTCAGTTTCAAGGAGCCTAGTAAATTCTCCCTTCTCTTAATCATATTTACTCAGTAAGAGAAAACTAGCATTAAAAAGCAGCTTTAATCAAATAATTTTGAACATCTGGAACTTACAATGAAACACACATCTACTAGCATGTTGCTTCAAAGGAGAGAGGGAAATAAAGTTACTCCTGATCTGAAATGCTGGATTTGCTCCCTGGCTTGATCAGTTCTATGACTAAGACCTTAAAAAAGTCTCATAACTCTTTCCAAGCTGTTTCTTATCTATATAATGAGGAAAACTCTATCAACGTCACAGCAGTGTTTTAAAAACTAAGTGAATAGCTATCTTAATTTACTTAGAAGTTAAGAATAGGTATTAATTTTGCCACAAAATTATGGTTTTGACATTAAAAAGCCTGGATGTTAAACAATGGCAGCATCTCTGTCTAATTAATGCATTTTTTTCAAGGAGGCAGTTACTCTCTGATTTCTCAAAAAAGAATACAATGTACTATGATTGGAAGTGCTTACAACTTGACACCTGAGTTACTTTATGTAACTTAAACGTTTTCTGGAGGGTTCTGTTTTCTTATAGTGGAGGGCTTGCACTGAGATATATGTCACTCGTGAAAGAGGATAGTATGGAACATGAGAGCAGTATAAGTTAGCTATTGTTATGGATTACAGGATAGGTGAACTAGGTAATATAGTTATCTTCTGCACTAGCAATATTCACTAGAAAAAAAACAACCTCGTTAAACCATAGACCCATTTCTTTGATGAACATTGATGCAAAACTTCTCAACAAAATTTTGGCCAATCGACTTCAACAATTCATCCAAAAAATCATACACCATGATCAAACAGGATTCATTTCAGGGATGCAAAGCTGGTTCAATATACGCAAATCAATTAATATTATTCATCACATCAACAGGAGCAAGAATAAGAACCACATGGTTATCTCAATAGATGCAGAAAAAGCATTCGACAAGATCCAACACCCCTTTATGATGAAGGTTTTGGAAAAATTAGGAATCCATGGAACATTCCTCAATACAATAAAGGCTGTATATGACAAACCTACAGCCAGCATTATACTCAATGGTGAAAAACTAAAGCCATTTTCCTCTTAACTCAGGAACAAGACAAAGATGTCCACTCTCTCCACTTCTCTTCAATCTAGTATTAGAATGCCTAGCTACAGCAATAAGACAAGATGCAGACATAAAGGGGATCCAAATAGGGAAAGAAGAAATAAAACTCTCCCTCTTTGCAGATGACATGATCTTGTATTTAAAGAATCCCATAGACTCCACTCCCAAATTACTCAAGCTGATTCAAAACTTTGGCAAAGTAGCAGGTTATAAAATTAACCCCCAAAAATCAATGGCTTTTCTGTATGCCAACAATGAGAAAAGTGTGGCTGAAATTAGGAAAGCAACTCCATTTGTAATAGCCCCACAAAAAATAAAATACCTAGGAATTAACTTAACTAAAGAAGTGAAGGACCTCTATGATGAAAACTTTAAAATCTTGAAAAAAGAAATCAACACAGAACTTAAAAAATGGCAAAGCCTCCCATGCTCCTGGATTGGAAAGATTAACATCGTGAAAATGGCAATACTTCCCAAGGCTATCTACAAATTCAACGCAATACCTATCAAAATTCCACCCTCATTCTTCAAGGAAATAGAAGAGGCAATCCAAAAATTCATATGGAACAATAAAAGACCCTGAATAGCAAAAACGCTCCTCAACGGAAAGAACACTGCTGGAGGAATGTCAATACCAAATTTCAAACTCTACTATAAAGCCATAGTAATCAAAACAGCTTGGTATTGGCATAAGAACAGACCTCAGGACCAATGGAATAGAATTGAAAACCCAGAAATGAACCTACAGACCTATAGCCATCTAATCTTCGATAAGGGAGCTAAAACAATAGAATGGAAGAAAGACAGCCTCTTCAGTAAACGGTGCTGGCAAAATTGGTTAACTACATGTAGAAAACTGAAGCTAGATCCTTATATATCACCCTGCACCAGAATCAACTCCAAATGGATCAAAGACCTTGAAGTCAAAGCAGACACTCTGAAAACATTACAGGATGGAATAGGAGAAACCCTGGGTCTCCTCGGCTCAGGCCGAAATTTTCTGAATAGAGACCGGGAAACACAACAAATCAAAGAAAGGTTGGACAAATGGGATTGCATAAAGTTGCAGAGCTTCTGCAGGGCAAATGACATAGCTAGCAAGATCAATAGAAAGCCCACGGATTGGGAGAAGATCTTTACTAGCCATACAACAGACAAGGGTCTCATATCTAAAATATACTTGGAACTCAAAAAATTAAACCCCCCAACAACAAATCCTCAAAGAAACAACTGCCCAATAAACAAGTGGGCTAAAGACTTAAAGAGAAACTTCTCTGAAGAAGAAAGAAGGATGGCCAATAGACACATGAAGAAATGTTCAACATCCCTAGCCATAAAAGAAATGCAAATCAAAACAACATTGAGATATCACCTCACTCCAGTTAGAACGGCAAAAATCAAGAACTCTAACAACAACAGATGCTGGAGGGGATGTGGACAGAAAGGAACCTTACTTCATTGTTGGTGGGAATGTAAACTTGTTCAACCACTTTGGAAAGTATGGAGGTTCCTCAAAAGACTTCACATAGAACTCCCCTATGACCCAGCAATCCCACTTTTGGGCATTTACCCTAATGTTTACAAACAAGACCACACTAAAGCTACCAGCACAACTATGTTTATTGCAGCATTATTTACCATAGCTAAGATATGGAACCAACCCAGATGCCCCTCAGTAGATGAATGGATCAAGAAAATGTGGTATATATACACAATGGAATTCTATGCCTCCATCAGAAAGAATGACATTTCCCCATTTGTTAGGAAATGGAAAGGCTTGGAAAAAATTATATTAAGTGAAGTAAGCCAGGCCCAAAGAAACATAGGTCCCATGGTTTCCCTTATTTGCAATATCTAGTATATGTATGAGTCAAGCGGAAAAGGTCAGATAATGTGATGTTAGGAAAACGAACCCTTAAATATGTATTTTAATGTTTTTGTTTCTTTCATGCATGTGTTTCTAACGCATTTATAAGATTATTTCTTTGTTGCCTTGTATGTCCCTCCCCCACAGTGTAACCCCTGCTTTCACTATATTTGATGTCAGTATAACTTGTGGAGGAGATGGGGACAAACAAGTCGTTTAAGGATTCAGGTGGACCTGTTGCAACAATGAGAAGTACAAAATGTCATGTCAAAAATGAGCTTTACAATGTCGGTGTGGGGGGGGGGAAGGATTGGGGGGGGAGGGGGGGTGGCTGGGAAGGGAGGTGAAGTGTAAACAAAGGAGGAGGCTGCAATGCTTGGTAAGAAATGTATGCATTATCCTGCCCATGTAATTGTAAACTAACCCCTCTGTACAGTATGTCCTCAAATAAAATAAAATTAAATAAAAAAAAAGACAACCTCTTTAAAAAAAACATAGTACTATGAAAACTGGATATCCACATGTAAAAAAATTGAATCTGCGATCTCTATTCTTTTACGTTATACAAAAATAAAACCAAATGGTTCAAAGACCTTAATTTAAGACTGAACTTGTGAAACTACTATAGTAAAACAGGAAAATATCTCAGAAATGTAGAAATAGAGAATGAATTTCTGAATAGGAATCAAATTTTTCAGGAAATAGGAGCAAGAATTGGCAGATTGGTTGTGCCAAATTAAAAGGCTTCTGTTCAACCATAGAGCAAAAAGACTGTCTACAAAATGGGAGATAAAAAATTTTGCTTGATATTCATCTGACAGGGGGTTAAAATTCAGAATGCATAAAGAACTCAGAAAACTAAACAACAAAAAGCAAACAATCTAATTAATATACTGGCAATGAAACTGAACACTTCAAAGGAGAAAGTACAAAAGGCCAATAAATAAATGAAAAACTTTCTAATGTCTTTAGCCATCATGAACATGCAAATAAAAATCACATTGAGATTCCACTTTAGCTTTGTCAGAATAGTTATCATCAAGAAAACAAACAACAAAGGGGGTAAAGAAGCTGAGTACGGGGAAGGAATCCCTTATACAATGTTGGTAGAATTATAAGTGAGTTCCAGCACTGCGGAATTAAGTATGGAGTTTCCTTTGAGAACTGAAAATAGAATTTTCATATGATTCAGGCAATATCATTTTGGGTATATATCTGAAAAAGGATGACTTTCGGCTTATCCCTCTGTGTTTATTGCAGCAATATTCACTATAGCTAAATTGTAAAATAGTCTGACATGCCCATCAACAGATGAGATGTACACACAGTTCAGGTTTACTCTCCATGAAG